TTCATAAGACCCTATATTCGATCCCTGGCACCACAAAAATAAATAAATAAATAAAATGTAAACTAGGGGGTATAGCTCAGTGATAGACTATGCTCTTAGCACATTCAAGGCCCTGGGTTCAATCCCCAGCACCAAAATTAAAATTTTAAAAATAATAAGATGCAAGGCTCTAGTGATCTGGCCCCACTGGCTCCAAAGCTCTATCCTCTAAAAGCCATTCCATAGTGACACCCATCTCTGATTCCATACATTGTACCACTTGTATGTTTGCCTCTGTGCCATTCTACAACATCTATGCCCTATGTCTGGAATACCTGTATTCTCTGTTCATCTACAATTTACTCATTTTCTAAAACAGTCCATGTTAGTCTCCCAAAAACCTTTCTGAATTCTCAGTGTGATTCTTGGGGGCTTTATTTATGCTCCTACAGGCTTCTACCTCTATCCCCTCACCTTTCCAACATGATCTAGTTGTAGGGTRACTCATTTCTCTCCCCTACTTCACTCTAAGCTTCTTCATGGCAAGGTACTACAATTGTTAGCAGGAATGCCAACCCTGACAACCCTTGTGGGAAAATCTGGCAGTATCTAATGAAACTATATGTACATTTACTGAAGATGTGCCTCAAACTAGATGAAAATATATATGCAATATATACGCACAAGAGTATTCATTTCAGCATTGTTGACTATGTTTTTAACTTAGATGTTCAGATACATAATAGTGCTTAAATAAAAGATGATACACCATTTATTGGAGGCCTATACAGTTACAAACAGGATGAGAAAGATCTCTATGAAGTGATTTACAGGCTCTATTAGGTTTTTTTTTTAAAGGCTATGTTAAAATAAGCTGGAAACTAATAGTTTCAGTATACTCACAGAGTTGAAAAGCCATCATCACCTTTTTTTTTTTTTTTTTTTTTTTTTTGGTGCCAGGGATTGAACTCAAGGGCACTGGACCACTAAGCCACATGCCCAGCCCTGTATTGTATTTTTATTTAGAGACAGGGTCTCACCGAGTTGCTTAGCACTTCACTTTTGCTGAGGCTGGCATTGAACTCTCAATCATCCTGCCTGAGCCTCCCGAGCTGCTGGGATTATAGTGTATGCCACTGCGCCCGGCACAATGTATTTTAAAACATTTTTCATCACTCCTTAAAATGACCAGTACTCATTAGCAGTCGTTCCCTATCTCCCTGTCTCCCAGCCCTAGGCAAAGATTAAGCTTTATGTCTCTAGACATCTCATGTTCAGGACATTTCATATAAATGGAATCATACAACATAAGGACTTTGTGATGGGCTTCTTTCACTTAACATAATGTTTTCAATGCCACATTTTGGTAATCCATTCACCAATGGATGGATATTTGGATTGTTTCAATTTATTGGCTATGGTGAATAATGCTACTATAAACACTTGTGTAGATCTGTTTTCTTTCCAAGTAATGTTTGAACACAGAATTTTGATTTTATACTCTCTGACAAAAAGATATCTAAATAGTATATAACTCCTTTTGATAGGATTCTTCACATTCCTGTGGGTCAGAAATTCTGAAACTACTTTTTGTATACGCTGGATTAAGCAAATAAACAAACATACGGAGAATAGGAACCAGGTTACTTGCATTCAGAAAAGGGAATCACACTATGAAAAGGAGGATGCCTAGAATAGATGCTATGGAACTGGATTGAAATCAGAAATATCACTCTGAAATCATGGTTTTAATACAGGTATGTAGAGAAACAGATGTAAACATAAATATAAATCCTGTCTGCTGGTAGGCTTAAAAGCAATAGTACTCTAGTAACAATGAATACTTTAGTGCCCAGGACTTGGTTTATAAATACCATTCTCAATTAAAATGAATCAGTACTCCTTGAAAAATGGCTGGCTTCAAGGAAGGAGCAGGAAAAAGTAGGAGTTCAGTTTGGAACTGAAAGGGGACATGTCATGTCCCCAGGAGCCAGCTTCAAAGGACTCCCACAGACCAAATCTGGAAAAATTAGACCACCAAACTAAGTAATTGAAATAATGGATTATAAACCATTAATAAAATAGGAATCCAAGAATCTAAACTGATATAAGAATGATGAATATAGAAAAATCACCATTTGGCTGACAAAATTAACCGATTCAGGCAATGATTATGAATGGATATAAAATTAATGGGTTACAGTCATAAGTAACAGCATATTTGTATAACATTAAATTATCTATTCATAATATTTGTTAATTACAAAGGGAAAAAATTACTAACTTTGCTACTGAGAAGTTGGGAGCCACCACCTTAATCCACATGATTAAAACAGTAGTGTGCCAGAGCTGACTCAAACCATGTCAGGAAAGGAACCTTTCTCAACTTCATCTTCAGTGATGACAGACACAAACTTGAAAYGGGCCAGGGCAGGAGTATATACACCATGGGAACTGGCAAATGCTACAAATCAGGGCTTTTCCTCCTCCCTTGAAGAGGCTGCCAGTTCTTTAACTTTGAAACCACAACCCTGAATCAAAGACTACCAACAAGTAGTTGAATTTTTGTGTCTCCTAATATTATATACCAAGGACAAAATATCACTATTGTGGTATTCTATCAAAATACATAATCGAATAAGAAAACACCAAGAAAAACCCTAAATTGACCTATTCTACAAAATAACTAGCCTATGCTGGMAAAATATCAAGATCATAAAAGACAAAGACCATTAAGGCAATATTTCAGATTAAGAGACTAAAAGGATGTTACTATGCCGGTCATGGCATAGTAATCTCAGGCCCATGCCTGTAATCCCAGTGGCTCGGGAGGCTGAGGCAGGAAGAATCCGAATTCAAAGTCGGCTTCAGTAACCTAGCAAGGCCCTAAGCAACTCAGCTAGAAACTGTCTCAACAAAATATAAACAGGGTTGGGGATGTGACTTAATGGTTAAGTACCCCTGGGTTCAATCCCTGATAAAAACAAACAAACCAAAGATGTTACTACTAAATGCAATATGTGATCCCAATTGGGATTGTAGACAAGAAACACACACACACACACACACACACACACACACACACACATACACACACACACATTGCTGTTAACAATATTATTAGGACAACTAAGTGTGAATAAAATCATTTGATTGAATAACAGTATTATATTGATGTACTACAATTATCTAAGAGTGCCTCAAGTGCATACAAAAACACATATTGGCTTATATTGGTAGGCACATCAGTCCACAACTTACTCAGGTGGAAGGAAGAAAGAAATGAAAAATGTTAATAAACCAGAATTTGGATGCTTGACAGTTCTTGTAAGTAGCGGGAAGCATTCCCGCGGACGCCCCTAGACGGCATCCCCCTCCCCCAGGTCTCGCGCAGGCGCGGGAGACGGGCTCTCCCAGAGCGAGCCACCACGCGCCCATCTGCCCGCCCTGCCCTTGGATTGGCCAAGGATGCAGTGATGTCACATCCTTTTTCATAGTGGGTGCGTGGGGCTCCAGGATCTGCAGGACCTGCGGGTGCGAAGATCCCGCTGCCTATTTACCTCCAGGGGCAAAAGGGGAGTCTCTGGATTTCCTTATCAATTAGGATTATTGACCTGGTCTTCTGCTTACCGCTTGTTATCTCAAGACATTTTTCCTTCTAGTAACAACAGGAGATCGTTGTAGTTGCTGTGAATTATTTACCCTCTTCCAATATACTATTATACTCTTCTGCCTTTGTTTACTTGTACCCCTGGCTGCAGCTCAGGATCCCGACTGGGTGCAGATTCCTGAAGGACAGTGACAATCTTGACCTCATGTAGTTATTTTTGCCCCTGCCCCCACCAAGATAGTGATCTGGCACCTTCGGTCCCTTCTATTTTTGAGCCCAGACAGCAGATATTAAGATTCAAGGTCACAGAAGTTGGGAGCTCCCCTATAAAGGCAGATTTAAGTAAATGCATCCTCTTCCAAAGCCTCAATGTTGATTTGTTGTTGATGTTTGTTTTGTTTTGTTTTGGTTTTACAATGCTGGGATCAAACCCAGGGCTATATCCCCCAATCTCACCTTTCTTAACTGTTGTCCTCAAAAGCATTAAATTTGTGGCCAGGTACTTCTGTCAGTTTCTAACAGAAGTGGTGAAAACCTTGGCCAATACCAGCTGGCCACTCCCTCAGCGTGTTTGTTTCTAGGCTTTCCTATTATCATTTAATTGGAAATCACAGGGAAATGTGTTCAGGGGCTTACATCACCTGTTCCAATCTACGGCCTCGTGTTCAAAGACCGCCAGAAGACAGCAGGTGGAAGGTATTGAGCTTTTGCCACTTACTGGGTAATATTTTCTCATGGGATCTCATTCATAGGATGAAGAACTGTACTTGAATTTGGGGATGAAAATGGTGGGTTATATGGGCAACAGACGGAGATGATGTTCAACCCATTGTGATTGTAGTTGCTCTTACAAGTGTCTTCATTCATCCTGTGTAGACAAGGAAGCTTATCTTCCATTATCTGACCTACCACCTGGCATACAGTAGATGGGTGCTTGGTAAATGTTGAAATGATTTTATAATGCCCCATACATTTTGCAGAATTGGGAGTCATGTTCTTCCATCATCTGTGATTCTGGAGATATTTTTACCTGTGTTGGCACTGCCATATAAAAGAAACTGTTCTTATTGTTTGGGGAGAAAAGCCTGAGATTCTTAATGATTTCAAATGCTGTGCTATGAAAGAAAATTGAATAACAGAATTATGATCTCGTGTTCACTTTTACTCAGTAATCATGGAATCACATTACCAGTTTCTTTTGTTTTTCTCCTATACTTTTTCCCCACAAATGAAAGAATTCTGTAGTGAAAAATGTGAAGGACGAAGAACTATTTATTTCAGTTGAACAGATAGGCATGTCAAGCAAATGAAAATGGAAGAGCCCATTATCAACAATGTATTGGGAGAGGGTAAATGGATTCTTTTGAATGATTCACAGCAACTACGTTGATCTCCTATTGTTACGAGAGAGAAAAAATGTCTTCAGATAACCAGTGGTCAGCAGAGGAGGAGGAAGGCCAATTATCCCGACTGATCAGGAAATCGAGAGACTCTCCCTTTTTCCCTGTAGGTAAGTACAAGCCTTGACTGAATACTGGAAAACTGTAGTAACATAATAATGCCTTACCTTTGAGGATTGAAGTGTCTCATAAAACTGATTTTTTTCAGGTTGAAGCTAATTGCCTTCTAAGCATGAATATGAGTTGATATTTCAGAGTAATTTCTAGTATGAAGTAAGTCCTCAAGAATTGTTAGCTATAATTATTTGGAGCATCAAATTTCATTCAGTTTTATCCATTTCATTAAAGGTCTATCTAAAATTATTAGTTCCCAGCAAGTCATATCTTTACCCTGTATATAACTCCATGCTTTAAATTTTTGTGTCTTCTGTTTATAGATATTTGTTTCTTCATTATTATTTGGGAACCATTAAAAACTTCTGCTTCTAATGTTCTATGGCATCAGAAGTTAGATACCCAAGCTCAAAAAAAAAAAAAAAAAACCCTCTAAGTTAATTCAGTGTGAAAGCCTAGTTCTACCTTGACAATTGAAAGCATGAACTCTGTGATGTTTGTTTTGGCTACTCAGCCGCCAGTTTTGCTGGCATCCTGATGTGTTCCAGATGTTAAGACTGATGGTTAAGTAAACTCCAAATTAAAGAAATGGTATTATAATTAGATCTGTATTTTTATCTTTATTTGTCTCTCCTCATACATTTTTAGCATATGCTTACATTTTCAACAGATAGTATATGTAGGCAGTTTTTAAAAATATATATTTAGTTGGACTGAGAACATAACTCAGAGGTAAAGCACTTACCCAGCAAGCATGAAGCCTCAGCACCTACCACCCCAAACAAAGAATGTAAGCATCAATAAATCTGAGCATTTTTCTTTGTCCTCTGTTTAAATTGTCTTGAGCATTATTATTGTACACTACAGCCTTGTGTTCATTCCATTTGGAAACTATTAAAATAATTTACTTAGATTTGACTTACAAAGGTTTGTGAACATATTAATTCCATAAAATCTGACAAGCAGGTGTAAGTCATATGCTTCCATTAAGTGTCACTGCAGCTCCAGCAATTTCATGTCATTATTCACCTTTCAAAAGCACCAAATTTTATTTTACAATATTATATTTAGAAGTTTCACTTAATTTGATTAAGACTTCATAAGAAATTGAGGCAAATAATTTAATAGCGATTTATTTATCTTCCTTAGCATTTTTAACTAGAAAAACAATTTAAGAACATGATGCTACTTAAACAGATGACTCTAACAAACAGAGATTAATCACTGTCCTGTAGAACATTAAACTATTTTCCAGAGACATTTAGGGTGATTAAAGCAGAAAGATGAAAGTGTTCCAGCTGAATTCAATTTTATATAAACCACAGAGACACTATGTGAAAAAACAGTAAAGGTTCTGACTTTAATCTCTAAAACAAACATTATCAGTTTAAGAAAGAACAGAACCTTGATTTGATCAAGAGAAGACAGCTAATTTTTTTTTTGCTAGAAAATAAATAATGATAAGATTTGTATATATATCATTGAATAGTTTTGCTTAGCTATTGTTATTTTAGTGATGTTTACAGGATATCCTGCTACAGGATGGAGTGTCTTCTGCAAATAATTTTTTAAATTAATTAATTTATAGTAGAATGCATTTTGACATATAGTTCACAAATGGAGCACAACTTCTCATTACTCTAGCTATACATGGTTCAGAGTCACTCCACTAATGTAATCATACATGTATATAGAGTAATAATGTCTGTCTTTCTACCATCCTTCCCATCTCCACAACCCCATCCTTCCCCTGACTCCCTCTACATAAACTAAAGTTCCTTCATTCTTCCCTATTCCCCTGCTCCACTATGGATAAGCATCTGCTTATCAGAGAAAACATTTGGTTTTTGGTTTTTTGGGATTGGCTTATTTTACTTAGCATGATATTGTCTAGTTCCATCCATTTACCTGCAAATGCCATCATTTCATTCTTCTTTAAGCCTGAGTAATATTCCATTGGGTATATATACCACATTTTCTTTATCCATTCCTCTGTTGAAGGCCATCTAGGTTGGTTCCATAGTTTAGCTACTGTGAATTGAGCTGCTATAAACATAGATGTGGCTGGATCACTGTAGTATGCTGATTTTAAATACTTTGGGTATAAACTGAGGAGGTGGATATCTGGGTCAAATGATGGTTCCATTCCAAGTTTTCTGACAAATCTCCATACTTTGTGCAGATAATTTACAAAACATTTTTATTCATTGTCTTGAACCATTTATGTGATTATAAATATAATCTACTGGGTTAAGGGTATACTTCAGTGGTACAGTGCTTCCTTAGCACACATGAGGCCCTGGGTTCACTCTCTAGCACTTCAAAATAAATAAACAATAATAAATAATCTATAATGTATCTACATTGTTCAAAGTTGTCTTACAATGACTATTGAGGTCTCTGCATACATTATATGTATTTGAAATCTCTGTTGAATGATTACTTGATTTTGTGTCTTTCATTTACCATTTCATATATAGATTTGGGTATTAATACTTCCCTTTCTTATAATTTTTAATAAGTATACAACTTGGGCCATTTGGGTTGACAGTTTTCCCATGAACATTTTTGTGTCATCTCCTTTTGCTTTATATTCTTGAAGTATGTTCCCCAAAGTAGAATTTCTAGGGTTCTTTCCAAAAAGATTTGGGCAAATTCACAAAACTTTCAGCATTGTAACTTTTTCCCTAATGTGTCTATCACATAATTTGTTATTTTATTGTTTTCATACATTGTGGTACACCAGTCATTTTAATTTCAATTGCATTTACTGCTAATCGTCCTATAAAATATACTTACAAATGTGGTTATTTATTCTGATTCTTATTTCTACCTACTAATTGGATCCTGAAAGAATAAATATATACTCACCCACTCAGAGAAGCACACATGTGCCAACCGAGTTAATGAAAACATGCCATCCCACATAAAAACCAACTGCATTTCTATATACTAACAACAACTGAAATCTGAAAGTAAAAACATAATACCATTTAAAGTCACTGTGAAGAAAATAAAATGCTTAGCTACACACTTAACAAAACATGTATGCTGAAAATTACAGAATATTAATGAAATAAATCAAAGACTTTAATAGATGACTGTGTTCATAGATTAGAAGGTTCAATATATACATGTCAGTGTTCCCCAAATTGATCTATATGTTTAAGGTAATTCCTATTAAAACCCAGCAACTTTTTTGTAAACATAGACAAGCTTATTATACAATTTATATGACAAGGTACAAATCCTAGAAGAGCTAAAACAATATTTTTAAGGATTAAGTGTAACAACTCATTCTACTGGATGTTCAGACTTACTGTATATCTATAGTAATCAAGTCAGTGTGATTAATGATGGAGAGACAGATATATAGATCAATGTGATAGAATACAGAACCAAAAAAGTAGCCCAGAGTTTTATTGTACAAAGTTTCCTTTATTCTTTTTTCAACATATAACATTTTGTCATTGTCAATTTCTACTAAGTCTGCCTTATCCTCTTATAGATGTTGTAAATATACTATTCTATTTTCCAGGGTTTGTTGTTGTTATTGTTATTTATACATTTTTAATATTAATTTTTAGTTGAACACAATACATTTTATTTATTTTTTTATATGGTGCTGAGTATCGGAACCCAGGGCCTCACACATGCTAGGTGAGCACTCTATCACTGAGCCACAACCCCAGCTCCCCTCCCCACCATTATTGTTTATATTTTTGTTTTGTTTTGCATTTAACTCTTGCCCATCCCGATTTTTGGAGGTATGGGGGAGGGTCTAGCGTGAGGTACAAATTCAAGGCAGTCCTTCTTTTATTTATTTATTTATTTTAGTTGTGGATGGACACAATACCTTTATCTTATTTATTTTTATGTGTTGCTGAGGATCAAACCCAGTGCCTCATACTTGGGAGGCAAGCRCTCTGCCACTGAGCCACAATCCCAGCCCCAAGACAGTCCTTCTTTACATCAACAAATTGTACTACTGACATTTACTAAATAATTATTCCTTTCTCTGTTATTTGATTATTTTTGGTTTGTCATGGTTTAAGTTCTCAGAGTGCTTTAAATCTCCTTCTAAAATCTTTCCTATTTATTTGGTCAATTTTCCATTTTAAAGCCAGTTACATGGGATCTTGGTTGTTCCAATGGTATATGTATGGCCCATACCCCCCAATACACACCTGGGAATACAGAAGTATTTGTATAGAGTCTGGATTTTTCTAGAATAAAATATTTCTTCCTAGACTCGTGTACTTCTTATGCATGTATTTAGACCTTTTCTGCTCTCATTAAAGTTTATTGTGTCACTTTTTACAGAACAATGTTTTTATCTCTTTCCTAGATTTACTCCTTATTTGATGACAAGAAGAGAGGAGTATAACCAAACACTCAAAAGCTATGGATGTGGGGTCAGTTCACTCACGGGCTAAATTTCTTGCTGCAGATGATGGCCTTGTAGCATGTACAATTTGAATTCAGGCATCAGGAAAATTAAAACTGACTAGATAAGTTACTAATCTAAATAGTTCAAGTTGATCTGGGAAAAGCAAAACTTTTTTTTTTTTTTTTCAAATTCAGGAATGTCAAGGACCCATTTCAAATTCTGGTGCATCAAATCTAGCATGGTTCTTTTAAAAGTATACTTTAGTATAGGCTGAGCATCTATAATCTGAAAATCCAAAATGCTCCAAAATCTGAAACTTTTTGAATGCCAACATAAGCAGAAAATTCCACACCTGTCTTCATGTGACAAGTCACAGTCAAAACCCAGGTACACTAAAAACATTGCATAAAATTACCTTCCATCTATGTGAATATAGTAAATATAAAACATAAAATAATTCTGTGTTTAGACTTGGGTCCCATCCCCAAGGAATCTCATTATGTATGTGAAGATATTCCAAACTCTGAAGAAACCTGAAATCGACTACACTTCTATCCCAAGCATTTCAGATAAGAGATACTCAACCTGCATCTGGACTGCTTGTCTTCCAAATAATCTTTCTTTATACAGCCTTTCGTTTAACTCTTTGAGCTCTGGGAATTCTTGCCTCTGCTTACTTAACTTATATTTTAAAAATTCACAGGTATAGCAGGCTTTGTGGCTGTGGTATCCTATGGTCTTTACAAGTTAAAGTACAGAAGAGATCAGAAAATGTCCATTCATCTTATTCACATGCGAGTTGCTGCACAAGGATTTGTTGTAGGAGCTGTGACTATAGGTAACTTCCTTAATTTATATCTTATGTTCAGCTGTCTTTGAGAATATTTTCATTCTATTTATTTGTAGTAGAAAATGAATAGTGGGTGAAGACAATATAATGGAAGAGAATGTTAAGAAAGACATCTTCACTTGGTCGACAGTTATGGGCTTAATTTCTTATGATTTTCAGCTCATAAAACCCCCATTAGAGAACTAGAGTGATGGATTGTTATGCTCTATAGTGAAAAGAGAGCACTAAGATCAGTAGTGATCTGTCCCAGCACATATCAATAGCAGATGTAGTTATTCGAGTAGTTGAATGGGGAAGATATTTTAGAGCCCACAAATCTAAACAGCCTTGTTCTACTTTTAGCTTTGCATGGTGGCAGCATGGTAGCCAAAGAAGTTTATCCAAGGCAGGATTTACTGCTAATTGAAAACTTTTCCCAAGTTTGAGCAATAGGCAGATCTTTTCTTTTTTATTAACCCCCAAATTAGGTAAGACCTACCTGGTCAAATCCAAAGAATCACTGTAAAGCTATCTTAGTTAATTCAGATTATAACAAAACTAACTCTGTTAGCTGTGCAATTAGATACACCTAACAAGAAGTCTATTTGGGAATCTAAAATATTCTTTTTTTTTTTAAGAGGGGTCAACATAAATCGGAACAAGTCACAATGTTCTCATCCCAAATTAATGCTTGCAGACTAGGGTCAACCTAAGAGTAGGGGGATCATGGAATGATGGCCATAGGTTGTATAGAAATTCCCGGCATGAAAAGAATTGGGCTTCTGCTGTGTTCTGCCTTCCAAACCTCATGCAAAATATCTCTCATGAACTAACCAGGGAATAAAAGTAAGGGAATTATGGAAAATGTTGTTACGAGGTTGCACAGTTGAAGCATCCACCACTGTCCAGCCCTAGTCAAACAGGTCTCCTCATTTCATCATACTCCAAATAAAAACAACAGCAAAATCAGCTATCCCTTATGAAACCCAAAACATGTTAATTCTCTCCCAAAACACAATATGAAGTCCCTTTGTCCATCTTTGGGTGATGCTGATTCCTCATTGAGCTAAATCACCTTCCCCTGTGACATCCTGTGGCTTAAATCCTGACTTATAAGGTTAACTACTATTAATACTTCTTATATTAAATAATAGGTGAATCACACGTAGTGACACATGCCTATAATCCCATCTACTCAGGAGGCTGAGGGAAGATGATTTCAAGTTCCAGGCCAGCCTCTGCAACTTGATGAGGGACCCTGTCTCAAAAAATAAAAATGGCTGGAGATATAACTCAGTGGTAGAGCATCCCTGGGTTCAATCTTCAGTACTGGGTGGGAGGGTGAAAATAGCCAAATGGAAGTGGGGAATAGAAAAAAAATGGGTAGATATATATACAAACATATGCATACCAAAATAAGGAAGAAGTACTCAAAATGATCAGAGGCTTTGTTTCTACAACTGGCCAGGTAGTCATAACTGGCTTTTTAATTATGTTTTTCCATTACTTATTTCACAGTCCCTTTGCCTTCAGCAAGCATCTTGGCTATTCATGATTACTGGACTGATGATGTGACCCATACCTTCATTTCTGAAGGGTCCGGGTCATTAGCCATCCTATATTACACCCTAGAGTGGGTGTAATTTCCATCTTCTTTAACACTGGAGATAAGAGTGATTGATGTACACCAGAAGATATCATGTATTCTAATTCCCCCTTGGTAACAGATCAATGTAATAAACTAAGGTGACGTCCTATGGAATGAAAAGATGATCACAATCCCTGCAGACTAGATTACAGCATAGGGCAGGAAGTTTCACACAGCCCTAGGATTGGACAGTGCAAGTATACTGCAGGGCTTGCCTGGTGAAAAGCAAATTGCTTATGGTCTTTACTAAAAGGTCTACAGAGAAAAGCAATCAGTTGCACACTCAATAGCAAAGGTTGTGTTGACTTCCTCTAGTTCACTACAATTAGAGTGAACACTGAATGCATTTCCCACAACCTTGAAGTTTACAGGAACCCAATTTCATTCTCTAAGTTCCAACTATCCTCAGCCAAAATAAACAAACTGAACAGGGATGAATTAGGAAGCACCACCCTGGCATCTCTGAAGTTCTTGATGATGGCGCTAATCTTTATAGTCCCTGTTGAAATCTAGTAATGCTTTGGTTTACTATTTGAATAGATTAAGGCAATCAGAATGACATCAACTTTTACTGTTTGAGTAGATTAAAGCAGTCAAAATGATGCCCTTACTTCAGTGTGAGAATTTTGACAGTTGCTGAGTGTCTTTTCAACAATCCAAAACTGGGAATAACATACGGTATATTCAGGGAAACATGAAGCTGCGTGCAAAATGGACCTACTGCAAAACAACACTAACCATTTCACCTCTACCTTGACTACTGCACCACACTAATTCTACCAAAGAGGCAATCAGTTGTCAATTCAGAAGCAGTATTCAAAAATCCTCCATAAATATGATTATTTTTCCCTTCTTCAGTTTACAGGTACCCTGTTAAATAGATGCAAGTTCCTTTGGGGAAGGCTAGAAAGAGGATATAGATATGAACATATATACTGTGTGTATGATACATAAAAGTAAACATACACACACACACAGTTTKGGGGGGAGAAGGGGAAGGCTTATATAAAGAAGGTCTTTCCTGGCATCCTTCCTCATTCAAGGAACACTGGGTCTGTAAATTGATTCTTACCTAGGAATTGGTCAAGGGACAATGGCTGTCTTTTGTGATGAATCAAATCAGACTTTTATTCACTAGACCTAGACCTTTATTGCTTATATGCTGCCCAATACTTTCACTTCTAGGGACACATTCCAATTAGCCAATGCCAAAGATCTCTGTGGCTTGCACTATTCTGATGGTTGCTTAAGTTTTGCTACCCATTCCATTAATCAGGCTTTCCTTATCTTTGTCAGTTAAATGGTGCCACCTGACCCCCATAACACCAAGATGCCACTGTGCATATTGAATTCAAAGAGCCTGGGAGTTCACACTGTCATTTCTGGTTTACAAATAGTCACCATGAATGCCACTGAATGCCACTGCCACCTACACAAGTGCATTTCCCACAACCTTGTGAAGGGAGCGGGTGTGCTTAGGGAATAGGTGAGCAAGATAGATTGACTCTGGCATTCTAACCTGCCTCATCTGGATACCTACTTCTGTGGCAGCTTCTCAACCTCAGAACTAATGATGTTTGGGGTTGTATTGTTCTTTGTTGTGGATGGCTGTTCTGTGCATTGCAGGGTATTTGGCAGCATCCATGGTCTCTACCCACTAGATACCAGAATATCTTCCCACTTTGCATCCCCAGCTTGACAACCAAAAATGTCTCCAGACATTACCAGACTCCCTTGGAGAACAAAGCTTCCTCTAGTTCACAACTACAGCTCTTCCAAGGAACTTCTAGTACTGCAACTTCACTGAATGCAGATTACCTTTTGATCCAAGTTGTAGTCATTCTTAGGCGGGGTCAGAAGGACTGCTTCTACTAGCAAAGAGATCTCAGTAAACATATGGATTCAAGGACCCATTTCATTGAAATCTCCATTTTTCCCCCATCCCAATTTTTTTCCTTCTTTTTTTTTTTAACCTTTGCTTTATTTACTTATTTGTTTTTATGTGGTGCTGAGGATTGAACCCAGTGCCTCACATGTGCTAGGCAAGCCCTCTGCCACTGAGCCATAACCCCAGCCCCCTCAGTTCATTTTCAAGGTTCTCTTTCCAAAGCAATGCCAATTTTACATTGAGGTGATAAGTTTAAATTGTGTTGTGACTAGCTACTCACAGGATGAGATCCTGTGTGTGGTTTTCAAAAGTATCAGCTTCATGGCTTCAGGAGGGAAGAGTTTCTTTTGGGAAAAGTTTTAAAGCTTACATCCTCCTCACCAGAACTGGTGCTAGCGATTAAAACCCTGAGCCTATTATTTGCTTTTTGCAAATTCTCCAGCAGACTTAAAAGTAATCAGCCTCATTATATCCTTATGTCCACTAAATCTTCCATGGCACTGAAGACCTGTTCACGTAAAACCTGACTTTTTATAGGCACTTGATTAAAGAATCCACAGTCACAATTTAAGGAAGTGTCTTGCTACTGAGTGCCATGAACTGCTAGCATTCTTGTTTCCGCCGAACAAATGGTCATTAATGCCTTTAATTAGATTAGAGAACCAATTCCAGATAACCCAGAGCCGATTCAGAAAACCTATCCTTGTGCTCTGTTCCTCTGGAAAGAACTTAACCTTGTGCTCTGTTTCTCTGGAAACACTTCTTTGCCACATCAGTCAAATTTCAGTCAGAGAAGTAAAACTACCAGTAGTGACATGTGAAAAGGGATATATTCTAGAGTTATGACTTTAAACAATCTCAGAAGCTGGCTAAACAGTGAAACTATTGCTTATGTTTCTGATATTGGGGCCTGAAGTTAGCAAGGCAACTTTGAGAAGAAAAGATAAACTAGAATCTGCAAGGATGAGCCACTCAAAAAACAGGTGGGGGGCTGGGGATGTGGCTCAAGCAGTAGCGCGCTCGCCTGGCATGCATGCGGCCCGGGTTCGATCCTGAGCACCACGTACAAACAAAGATGTTGTGTCCGCCGAKAACTAAAAAATAAATATTAAAAAAAAAAAAAACAGGTGGGGCCAAGCGAGGTGCTGCATGCCTGTAATGCCAGCAGCTTGGGAGGCTGAACCAGGAGGATCCAGAGTTCAAAGTCAGCCTTCTAAGATGCCTGCAAGACCCTGTCTCTAAATAAAATATTTAAAAGGGCTGGGGATGTGACTCAAGGATTAAATGCCCTTGGGTTCAAATCCCCAATACAAAAAAAAAAAAAAAAAAGATAAGTGGTATCTAGAGTCAGTCTCCCTGCCTTTCTTCACGAGAGACATGGAGAACTTGGTGCCCTACGTTATTGAGCTATAGTACATCTGGCCCAGGAGCCAGAGAAGCTAATGAAAATCCAGAAGCAGCTGAAGGAGCTGTGGGCCTGGCTGTGGCCCAATAACAGTGAGTTGAGCCAGCAGATAAAGCACAGTATGTACAAACTGTACCAGAGACAGTCACCCTGTATCAAGCATTCAACCTTCTGAGTGTAAAAAGGACATGGCAGCTGCTGCTCCAACTTCTACCTTCCAAATCTCTTGCATAACATCCAGTATGAGCCAAGATAACAAGAAGTATGCAGGAAAGCAAATTCTGGGAAGCATAGTTACATCTTAGCTATACTGAAACAAAATAAATCCAGAATATACTTGTAATGATAGTTAGGAGAACATAGAAGATGATGATGTGAGCTGGTGAAAGGTCTAAACAAAGGAGTTAATATACAAAGTGGCAGTTTAGAAAGATACTTAGTTTAATAAACATCAAAAACAGGCAATACAAAAACTATTCAGAGATAAACAGGGAGTCACACTATAAAGGCAAGGAAGAAAATTACTATTGTAAAACTCAAGACAGTGATTACTTGTGGAAAAGAGAGAGGACTGTGATCAGAAACTGGAGGCTTCTAAGATGCCTGAAAAATTATCTCTCTTGACTCCTGCCAATTTCAGTGTCTACAAGTATTTACTAATGTGGACATTTTGGTTTTATGTGCTATATATTCCAGGTATATTATATTTCACCATGAAAAAATGTTAAAAGGAAAAACAAAATGCCTAGATTGATCTGCAGAGCAGAAGAAAAAATAAAAACAGAGAAACCAACTAGACTATGACTTAGACCTGAATTAAGACAGTGACAGTGGAAAAAGAGAAACAATGGATTCCTGGGATAGAGAGGACTTGGAAACCACGAGATCAGGAAAAATAAGAGAAATCAAAGATGATTCCCAGGTTTCTGGTTTGTTCTGATGGGAGGTTAGCCTTTCACTAATATAGAGAATGAAGAATAAAGGGCAGATCTGGTGGAAGGGTAAGTGTTTTTTAAGCAAAGGAATAAAAGCTAACATTTAATGAATACTTTTGGTGTGCTAGCCACTGTTATGTATTATCACCTCATGTAATCTTAATAAATGCCTATTTATACACCACCTTGTATACTGAAATACGATTCAATAATGAAAACTACCATCTGGAGACCATCAGATCCCTGAGGTTGAAGTCCTGCCCTTATTCAGATGTCTACCACACTGAATAAGGTTGAAGACTGCCCTTATTCAGATGTCCACCACACTCTCATTTCCATAAGCTTTGGTATAATCTAAAAGGCTCAAGAATAATAGACACTCCAATTACTTGGAAAATCCAAGCATTTTAGAGTCCCATACTATGAAACCAGGACAAAGTCTTTATTATACCATAATATACCAAACCTATCTTCTGGGATAGGGATAGACTATCACCCCCATTTTACACATAAAGATACTGAGGCTTATAGAAAAAAGTTGTTTACACTCACATGTAAATTGAGTCCATATCTTATTGACTCCATATCTTATGAAGTCCTTTTTTTTTTCTCCCTTTTTTTTTTTTTTAATTGAACCCAGGGGTCTTTACCACTGAGCTACAACTCCAGTCCTTTTTATTTTTTCAGAGTCTCACTAAGTGGCTGAGGGTCTTCCTAAATTGCTGAGACTGGCCTCAAACTTGGGATACTCTGCCACAACCTCCCAAATCACTGATTATACAGGTATATGCCACCATGTCCTGCTCAAATTAAACATCTTTGGGCTAGACTTGTATCCACCAATTCTAGTAGTGTTTCATTACAAAATTATGCAGACTTATACCTCAATACACCATCATGTGGAGATTCCAGAACAACTTATTGACCTTTTATCCTCTGTGTACTCTATGAAGATTTTAACAAGCAGTCTCAGAAAGAAATCAGAAGAAACATGAAGGATTCAGACAACCAGATAGTTAGTTTAAATTAATGACCCCCTAACTTGCTTTTGTGGATAAGCATTTGCTGAGATCCAGGAATTCATAGAAACATCTTTCCTCTTCCAAAGAAACCCCAGCTGCTTCCCTCCTTTAGCATGGCCCCAAGACCTTGAGAAAGCCATACATATCATCTGCCTAAAAGCTAACTCACCCAATTAGATTGTAAATCCCCAGGGTCAGGGATCAGAGCCATTTACCTTTATTTTCCTTAGGATACTAAGCACAAGTAGACACTGAATAAGTGGTTGCTAAATTGAGAGACCTATGTTTCCTTTTCTTAATAGCTGGTCAAATTTGCCTTCTTTCCTAGCATCCCACCAATATATTTTTAAAAAACTTTAGGGTGATATAGAAACAGCATAACTTCAGACTGATACTGATCTTAAAGGACTTTTTAAGGGAGCCAAAAATATTAGTAAATGAATTATTTTCATATTCTAGGGCTAATTTCAGAAAAATATAAGTGGGAGAAGTTCAGCAATTGTTTTCCATGGATTCTCTATTGATGTACGTCTTTGTTTCTAGGTGTTCTCTATTCTATGTATAAGGATTACATTAAACCACGATTCTTCAATGCATCCAAAAAATGAAGCTATCTGATGGAAGCAAGAAAGACAAGAGGCTTTGGAAAACTTTTATTATGAAGAATGAATTTTCTTTGAAAAACTATTATGAAAAATGAAACTGCAGAAACATCAGCAAGAATTCTCATAACCTTTGTATATTATTTCCAAAGCTTTAATAAGTTGATTTCCAGATCAACAGTCATAGTCACTTTATTGATATATATATATATATATATATATATATATATATATGGATTAAACAAACCCAGGGGCACTCAATCTCTGAGCTATATTTCCAGCCCTTCTTATATATATATAGTGTTTTTTTGTTGTTGTTGTTGTTGTTGTTGTTGTTTTGGCATTGGGAGTCAAACCCAGGGTCTTATATATGCTAGACAAGTGCTCTATCACTGAACCACAACCACAGTCCCAGGCCTGAAAATATATTTTTAATCAGGCCACTAGAAAGAATATACCCTCTTGGTATACATTCAGCATTTAGAACAGATTAACTGTGCTTTATTAGAAATTGGCCTTTCTTACAAAACCCAAAAGCTTCCCTAATTTTCAGACAAGAAAAGGAATATATTTGTTGCTTTAAAAAAGCAGTGCTAAGTAGCCATGTTGCCAGGTGCAGTATTGCACACCTGTAATCCCAGTTACTTGGGAGGCGGAGGTAAGAGGATCCAAGTTCAAGGCCAGCCTGGGCAATTTAGCAAAACCATGTCTCAAAGTAAAAAATTTAAAAAGAGCCGGGGATGTAGCTCAGCAATAGAGTGTCCCTGGGTTCAATCCCCAGTACCAAACAGACAGACAGACAGACAGATAGACACACACACACACACACACACACACACACACACACACACGAGTAGCTATGCATGTGAACACCTACACAGGATAAAAAAGTTAGAAAGAACACAGAATGTTCATTTATCCACTGCATCTTGGGTAAAGGAGAGAGTCATATCAGGAAGACCCTATAAACAAATCCTATATGTTTGAATTTGCAAAAAAGAGAGAGGACTACTTTCGCTGGCTACTGGAACCATGATGCCTTACTACTGAACTACTTCCTAAGCCTGGTTATGCTTAGCAAGACATTTAAAGTGTGCATGTGTGTAGTACTATGGACTGAGCCCAGGGCCTCATGCATGCTAAGCAAATGGCACTCTACCACAAAACTACATCCCCAGCTCTTTTCATTTATTTTGAGACAAGATCTAAGTTGCCAGGCTGACCTCAAACTTTCATTCCTCTTACCTCAGCCTCCCAAGTCACTGGAATTATATGCTTGCCTTTTATATCAGGGTGACAGTTATGTAGAAATAGCTGCTCAGTAACAATTACTTAATTGGTCTTTTCCTGACATTCATCTGTTATACTTTAAATTGTATATATTAATATCTGGATGTTGTGGTTTGAATAGGGCTTGAGTATGTCCCCCCAAAGGTTCAATGTGTTGGAAATTTGGTCCCCAGTGTGGTAATATTTAAAGGTAGTGGGACATTTTTTATTTTTTAAAGTACTAGGCTTTATCTTGTTCTCTTTTTGAGGTACTATGGATTAAACCCAGGGGCACTGGATCTCTGAGCTATATTCCCAGCCCTTCTTATTTACTTGCCATGACTGGCCTTGAACTTGTGATACTCCTGTCTCAGCCTCCTGAGTTGCTGGGATTACATGCAGCAGGTGGTGGGACTTTTAAGAGGTGGGGCCTGGGAATTGATTACATTACCAGGGACACTGTATTTGGAGGTGATAAATGGAGATCTCATGAGACTGAGTTAGTTCTCATGAGAACAGACTATTATAAAGAGGGAGCTTGACTCTTAAATTGCTGTCTGCYTTTTTGTCAACCTATGGGAGCTCTCCCTATCATACATGCTCTCACCATGATACATCTACCACATGACATAGTAAAGAGGGTCCTCATCAAAGTTGAGCCAATGACAGCATCCTGCTTTTGAATCTCCAGAACTGAGTGCTAAATAAACTTCTTTTCTTTATAAAGTATCCAACCTTATGTATTTTCTTAAACTAACAGAAAGCAGACTAATACACTGGATAAGCACACTATCTGTAGAAATTTAAAGTTGTAAATCATAAATTAAAGAATGATTAAATGTTCTTAAYTGCCAAAAAGCTTACCCAAGACTCACTCTTTAGGTATCAATCTCCTCTATTGGTTTTAGTGTGATTTGGTTTACTCTGTTATCAAATTTTCTGATTATGGGAGCTATGACACCTCTGGGTAAATATTTACAAAGTTTTACATACTCAACTCTGTTCTAGTAACATACAGTTAAAGGATGGAGAAGAGTTACAAAAGCTGGGCACAGTGGCTCATGCCTGTAATCTCAGTAGCTCAGGAGGCTGAGGCAGGAGGATCCTGAGTTCAAAGCCAGCCTCAGCAACTTAGTAAGGCCCAGAGCAATTTAGTGAGGCCCTGTCTCTAAACTCTAAATAAAATATTTAAGGTCTGGGATGTGGTTCAGTGGTTGAGAGCCCCTGGGTTCAATCCCCAGTACTAAAAAAAAAAAAAAAAAAAAAAAAAAAAGAGCTACAGAACTCCCCAGAGTATTTAACCTCAGTTTAACCAACCACCTCACCTTTCTATGAGTTAAAATCAGGATGTTCATCTAGAGTTCCTATCTGTATGAAACACAGATAAGTTTTTCAGTATAAAAACACTGAAACTTCAAATTTGCAAGTGAGAACTTGTAATTCATGTTAATTCACTCTCAATTTTAAGATCTGAAGGACAATAACCTAGGCTGCAGTGTTGCTGCTCTTTTCTGAACTCTCAAGAGCCCCTGAAGTAGAAATGAGGGAATTTTAAAGAGTCATTTAAGAAAACTCCCTGATGCTTAGAAGGCCAAACCATTATAATGTAGGTAGGCGATGCATGGATTAAAAAAGAAAGAGAAAGAAAAACCAAAAAAGGTAATAAGTTTTTATGCTTTTGTTTTGATCTGTTGTGATACTTGGAATTAAACCCAGGGGCACTCTATTACCAAGCTGCATCCTCAATTTGAGACAGAGAGTTTTCCTAAGATGCTGGCCTCAAACTTACAATATTCTTGCCTCAGCCTCCTGAGTAGCACCATCAAGCCCAGCAGGTAATAAGTTTTAAAATAAGGTGGAGAGGTCAGACATTTCACTTCAATGCTGAAGAGGAAAGTGAAGTTCAAAGTCACACAAGGGCTGCAGGGTTTGCAGATTCAACCTTGGAAATCAGACGGAAATAATGAGTGATATCTGGGGTATATGCCACCCTGGGGTATATGGCATTGGAAAAAAGATAGCTGCCATTCAGTTCTAGCCAAGTGCACTTCCACGCAGGAATGTGGGCCCAGTGTGGCATATCTTCTGACTCTCCAATCAGATAATTATGATAAAACTTTTATTTATATATGTATGCATGTAAGCATGCTGGATAGAATCAAACCCAGGGCTTTGTGCATGCTAGACAAGCACTCTACCAATGCGCTATATCCCTAGCCCAAAATTAAATCAAAGAACTTTTTCATTATAAAAATTTTAAGAAAGAAAATTAATAGTATCAGGGATCAAAAAAATTTACTAACTACATGTCAGCAGGCAGTTTGTGATAATGTAGACTAATTTTCCAAATCCCAGTCTAGTAGTACTCTCATACTTCTTGGTACAAATATCTTATAATGAAATGCTTAGCATTCCCTAGGACATTCAACAAAATAAATATTAGCTACTCCTAGAAACAGAATTTGGACCTAGAAATGGTATTTGGAGTATTAATGGGAAAAGTGGAAAGAAAAGACATTGTAGAATTATACAAATATTAGAAAGAATATTAATACTTTGATTGTGTTGTGTCAGGACTTAGAAGAATGAAATGCTATTAGTTTCTTCTTTTTCTACCTAAAACTCAAATGCTAGAATAGGCTGAGTTACACTACAGTGTGGGAAAACAATTGATTATCACTTAAAATATGGTTTCTAAATTTGTTACTACATATTAAGCAGGTTGACAAATAACATTGTATCTCTGGTTTAATAACTATAAAAAATTTCAAGAAAAATGATAACAAAGACAATACTAATTACAAAGTATGCAGGTAACCAGTGTTAAATAAGATCACCAAATAGAAGAAATGATTTCTTTAGAAATGATGGTTAATATTAGTAGATACCAAGTATGTAATGTGGCTGATTACAATCAAAGTAAAATGTAACTGGCATAGTAAAGTATCACTTTATAAGACAGTCAATTGGATCAGTTCATTGTGAGAAAAAGAACATTTCCTTTCCCTTCTCACTTGTGATCCAAAGATGTAATTTACTTGAAGAATGTTTTTTTTTAAAAAAAAATACAAAATATCCATTAGTTTTATATAACATTAAAATCTTACCCAAACTGATGTTCAGGTTTACATAAATATATATAGATATATATTTTTTAAATCCCAGAAGTCAAGACACACCCCATAGGGGTATGTGGCCAGCACAGGTAATCATTTAACTCTGGCTATTGTTTGTTGTGAGGTGGGTGGGTCGATGACCTAAATTTATAGTTGTCAGTTTTTAATCCCATTCCCATGAGGAAATCTTTGCCTTTGTTCAAATGAACAAAACTCACCTCCAAACTAACAGAGGTATGTTAAGACAGCTGGCACAATAGGGCTTAGAGAAAATGGTTCTTATACAGTCTCTCAGGCTGTTAGTCATCTTGACATAAGTGAGTCAGCATCCACGGTGTTCAGAAGGTAGAGTTCAGGCTGAGCTGTCAATCCCAGGTGGTACTAAGGACAAAAAGGTGAAAGAGAATTAGACTGATTTTCAAGTAATTAAATACTGAAATGGGTATTTAAGTACCTATAATCAGCATATTAATTTAAACCTTTTTTAGTACTGCTGTTTTTCTTTCAGAAAAGACATAGCTAACGCATGATTTCTGATATTTAAAATGATAGAGCTGCTGAGATAGGTAAGGATAAAGATAGTGCCAATGTCCTCAGTAAAAGAGGCACACTGCCCCACGTTGGGACTTCAGACTAGGATGAGAGCAAACATGCACTGTTTTGTATTTTCATTCTGTATGTACTGGACATCAGATTTCAAACTGTCTAACTCCTGAGCATTGTAATCCTGACCCCATTATCCTTTGACACCCAAACAGAGAAAAGCCTTTTACTTAAAAACAAAAAGATAATGTGAAGACAGACAAGATAACCTATGGGTCTCAAATCTTTGCCAAACTGAATAAGAGTCATCTCAGCTGCTTTTTTTTTTTCTCCCCAGTAACAGGGGTTAAACCCAAGGGCACTCTGCCATTCTCCCAAGGCCTTTTTATTTTTTAATTTTTAAAATTTTGAGACAGGGGTTGGGGGTTGTGGCTCGGTGGTAGAGCACTTGCCTAGCATGTAGGAGGCACTGGGTTCGATTCCTGGCACCACATAAAAATAAAAACAAATAAATAAAGTATTGTGTCCATTTGCAACTAAAAAAAAATATTTTAAAAACAAAATTTGAGGCAGGTGTGTGCCACCATGACCAGCTTTCACCTCAGCTGCTTTTAAACATTTCCACACCCCACTAGTACAGAACCGAATCCAGATGATTTGTGTTGAAATCTGGGAAGTTATAGTTTTTCTTCACTCTTTTTCTTTCCCCTGAATATAACTTGAGACAGTCACTGAGTCTCATTTTAGCCTTCGGTTATTACTCAGGACTTCAGGAACGTCACTGCCCTGGACCAACAGCCTATAAGTTAAATGCAGAATGCAGACTATAAATAGAAAGAATTATTGCTATTACAGGATAGAGGAAAAGGCCCTAGAGTTGGCATCAAGCCCAAACTCCATCTCTTCCTATGATGCTAGTCATGTAATGTATCCTTCTGGAGCCTTATTCTACTGATTGGTAGAATGGAAATAAGTGTTACATTGGAAAATGACAAGTACACTAATATCCTTTCTTATACTACTCTATTTTAATAAATATACACAAATTTCACATTACTAATTGCCCTGTATAACCTCACAGGAGTCATCATAATGAAGGTGAAAAGATGACATACACCAGATGGTGCCGAGCACTGAGCCATTCTCAACTAGTGGGCTAGGAAGATGCTGGATGACCCTGGCCTTAGGACAGGAAAACAGTTCTTCAGCTTGCTTCCTCACTTTAGTGCTTTATATCACAAGTTTCACTAACTAACAGCAATTGTCAAGACACACTGACAATTCATCGAAGCCTTTCCCAAAGACAGTGGGCTTCCTCAAAATGAGTAAGCAAGGGCTGCATTTATAGTTCAATGACACCATACAATGTTATCTCTTAGATGACTTAGAACTCCTTCACTGAAGATTGTCATGTGGTTATGAGACATTGAGAAATGGGGCTCAGTGGCACAAGAATAGGCTAAAATGGTGACAGATAACGTGAATGAGTCAACCTATTATTAGTCTTAGCTATTATCAGTTTAAGACCACAAAAGGCCCTGACCATTTTCTAMGCCTGCCCAAAGCATTCAAACTTACTTCTTAAAATTTAACACAGGGACTGGGGCTGGGGCTCAGAGGTAGTGTGCTTGTCTAGCATGCATGAGGCACTGGGTTCAATCCTCAGCACCACATAAAAATAAATAAAGGTATTGTGTCTATCTACAACTAAAAAAAAAAAAACTAAAAAAACTAACACAGCCAAAGTCAAAGTTGGCAACTTCTGATCTAAATCATATTCCAGCATTAATCAGAGTATCAAGCAAATGATTTGATGAGTTGGTGTTGCTAAACAAAACTTGGTGTCTTAATCCAGTGTGAATTGTACACTATAATACAAGATGGTTTGAGATGAACATGTGGGCTCTGACATTAAAAGAGAAACTGCCCACTGCCCATTTATTAGCAATGTCATACAGGTGAGTTACTTTTGGCTTTTCATTTGCCTCATTTATATAGAAGTTAATCCTCTTTGTTATAAGGTTTGAATGAGACAACGCAAATGCTCAAACCAGAACTAGCACATGGTAATAATTTAGCCATTCTTACATTCAATTCATACGCTAAAGTGCTGGGCAAGACTAATATGCTTAGATTCATTTGTCTTAACAATGAAGACGCAAAAGTATTCTGAAGGGCAGAGTTAGAGGAAATATCTCAAATTGGGGTCTTCAAATTGTTTTGTATCCTATTAGTTCTGAATAAACCAAAATTAAGAACAGAGAACTAAGTGAAGGACACCAATATGGAGAAATTCTACAGGATTACTTAGGGTATTCAACTCCTATAAGAAGGCAGGGAAAGCTTTAAATACAAAGGAAAAAATGAAGTTCTAATGACACTCTTGGGATAAATCAAGTGCTTAGATTTTCCCATCATATGTCTGGGGACAGAGCCAGAAGTTTGTTATGCCTGAGCTTTGCCTTTGTTTTTAACAAAAGGTGCCAATATTTCCATATATGTCAGAGCTGCCAAATTGTCCATGTTTACACGGTACTGAGGATTAGAACCCAGGGGCATTCTACCACAGAGCTATGCTCTGAGCTTTTTTTTTTTTTTAATATTTATCTTTATTTTATTTTTACGTGGTGCTGAGGATAGAACCCAGGGCCTTGCACGTGCTAGGCAAGCACTCGACCACTGAGCCACAACCCCAGCCCTACTCTGAACCCTTTTTAAATTTTTCATTTTGAGATAAGGTCTCACTAAGTTGCCCGAATTTATAATCCTCAAACTTGTTACCTCAAACTTGCAATCCTCCTGTTTTAGACTCCTCAGTAGCTAGAATTACACACATGCACTATCATGTTTGATTTGACAATCCAGTTTTTATTGTGTGTGTGTGTGTGTGTGTGTGTGTGTGTGTGTGTGTGTGTGATGTTGGGGATCAAACCCAGGACCTCTTGCATGCGAGTAGGCACTTCACCACTAAGTCACATCCCCAGCCTTCTCATTTGTTTCTAATCTAATTTTGGTTTCTTTCCTCATACTAATTTTTGGTGGCAGCAAATACAGAATGTAAAACTACTTAAATGGCGAGACAAGACTAAAAAGAGACAAATATTTATCTTATAATACAGAAAGGTAGGATTAAACTTCAAGTTTAAATATGGTAAAGGTGTGACTTTTAGGTATAGCCAAACAATCTACAAGCCCAAATTTGTAATCCTAGATGTGTAAACAGAAATTAGTGTCTTGGTGAAAACTAGCCAGTCATCTTTTTTTTTTTTTTTTCCTTCAGTAATGCAGATTGAACCCAGCTGTGCTCTACCACTGAATTACATCCACAGCCCTTTTATATTTTTATTTTGAGACAGTGTCTTGCTAAATTGCCAAGGCGGGCCTCAAACTTGTAGTTCTACTGTTGAAACCTCTTGAGTAACTGGGATTAATGATATGTGTTACTGTGCCCAGCTCTAAACCCAACCTTTTGGTGACTAAATCCATTTAATGTCTCTATCCCTTCAAAGAGAGAAGCACTAAGTTGTATGGGTTTAGTGTGTCATTCCAGATGGTAACTAATATTTCAGTATTTCTATATCAAAGTTGTTGAGACACCATTAATAAAATATTTCAAGATTTAAAAAAAAAGCAAACAATAACCAGGAAACCAAATTGGAAAAGGAAATAAATTTTTAATTACAAATCAAGTTCACATATTGTTAAATGGGTACTAAAAGTTTGGTTTTAACCACTTCTAACATCACTAGCTCCTAGAACCTCACAGGAGCCAAATTTAAATTTTTTCACCATGCCTATTAATTTCCAGCATATTGTAGCAGTACAATTATTTCATTTATGGACATTTAAGTCACATTTAAGGACAATAAGAACCACTTTGAAAAAATACAATTGTATATCCTTAAACATTCCACAAAAACATACTGCCAAAAATAAAAATGCACATGCTGGCATTGGAGGACTTAAATTTCTACATATTGGTTTTAACACTCAAAGTACTGGTTGAAGTATACCTTCTCTCT